CAGGGCACTATTTAGGCAGACATTGAAAGAGCTAAGGAAGCTGCAGTGGTGACATGTTTTTCTGAAAGATTCCAATTTCGTGAAGTGGGTTGCGGCCGAAGAGCACCATCCACCGGTGTTCCGAAATTTCCGAAATTATTGCAATGTGATAAAAGACGCATATGTTGTGTTTCCATACATGTAAATAACGTACAGAAGTTGCTAATCTAGAGCATGTCCTATCGACAAAATAACTCTAATATATTCCCCGAGGGCCGCTGGCTACCCATGCTCTTCAAAACTGGAACCTGAATCGCGTATGATGTTTTACCATCCGAGGTAACTATACAGCTCTATTATGATGTTCAGATCTTGGTTCACTGCCCAAGACTCCAGAGCATAAAAATCGAAGGCTGCCAGAAACTCGACGTGGCGATGATTTGGAGCGATGAGCTCACCGAGCTGGATCTAACAGGTGCGCAAGCTACAGTGCCACATTTTGTGGCTTTTTTGGCCATCGCAAGCAATATAGCTATATCCAATTCAAGTCAGGGTTAGGGATAGATTGCTGACTGGTCCTGGCTGAGGGAGAACTATTGCTTAGATGTCCTTGTTTTAGGGAGAACGATCAAGGTCCCTTGGCATTCCCAGGGCTGAGCGATCGGTGCATCTGATAAACGGGACCGAGCGCCGAGCCGATCAGATCTTGAGGCGATTAGATATGGGTCAATGCCTGTGATGAGTATATTAATAAGACATCATTATTGAAGAACTCATCAGATTGTTGACGTTTAGCGCTGGCTGTAGTACCGGTTATCCGAGAAGCTTTGCTATGACGGGTTGAGTCCAACCGGTGGGAGCGAACCGGAGCGATTTTAACCCGTCCCTTTGATTTTCGAAGCAACCTAGTATTTTGGGACAGCCGGCGGCGCCGAGAGTGCCCTTTGAGCGAGGAGCGAGTCGGCCGCGAGGGCGGCTATTTAGGCAGCCCCTCGGTCCCCCTCCTTATCTTGTTTCGCACCCGGCCCTCCCACCCTGGAGAGTGGAGTTCGTGTTAGTTGTGGGATGGAGAGGTAGTTGAGGGAGGAAAGTACGGCAAAGGGAGCTGACTCATGAGGAGTCACTCACTGAAGTGGCGTTGAAGTACTAGCGAAGCGAATGGGCAAGTTTAATGGACGGGAACCTCGGGTATGTGAAGTTGACGGTTATTTGTAAGTAATGTCATGGGGGTACATGACGGGGTGGGCTCAGGAGACCGGTAAGGCAGAAAGCTCGAGAATGGGACCACTCGCTGGAATTGAAGTAACAGAGTCTCTCGTCATTGCGCCTACAAGTAAGATTTAAGAAATCATGTGAACTGTGAGATATATCAAATCGAAACTCGAAACTGAGAGCCTTGCAGCTGCGAGTGTATCACCGGGCCCCACTGGGGAATTTCAACATTGAAGTTGTGCTATTCAGCGACTATGTAATCGCTTGAGGATAGTCAGATGTGGTGATACAGTGTGACCAAATTGCATGAGCCGCTGGATCATAGAATGATTTTTACCCGCGCAGGTGCCAATGAAATCAGGGAGCTGAAGCTTCATTGCCCTTCTTTACTTGATACAAAAATCCCCACCCTAAAGGCAAGTATTGAAATCAATGGCACTTTTACATGATGGTCTTCTTGGCACTTCTCAAGCTGATAATTTTTGAGATGGATTGATGACTTCAAATATCGTTTCACAAATGTACTCACAATTGCATCCAAGAACAATGACATCATTTCGAAACATAAAATTCGTCATTTCCATTCACGCCATTCATTGTGGTTACCATGTTACACTGTTGTTTGTACAACATTCCATGGGCCAACGGAAGGGACACGGGATCCAATTGGTGGTTTGTCCCTGAGGCACCCTCGCTGCCATGGCAAGCTCCCAAGATGGGAGTTCCATCGCCCCTCCGCCTTCCTCCGTGCTGGGGGGCTTCTGCATTGAAATATGGACACCGCATTACCATAATGAACGCTGAAGAAAATGCTCCCAAGTGGTTTCGGAGTGTGGGATAGACAGCGCCCTTGTCATAGTCGGACAGTCCATTTTAACGCGGAATAGTGGTCGGTAAAGGGTGTACCTGCGGCGACGGCCAGTGGCGGGTCCCCAAATTTGGGGTCTTCAAAGACGGTCTTAGAGATGTTCCGCCGTCACATGCGCGTCTCAGCATTAGAGCTGCTCTGCATGCCGACCCCGGTCCCCCAATGTACTGCAGCTGCAACATGGGACGAGGTACTTGAGGCCTTGAAATTCGGCAGAGTCTCCCCGCGATTAAAGTGTCAACGTTGGCAAATCTCCAACGCTGTTTTAATTTCTCCTCCGCAGTTGGTGTATATGAAAAGGCGAATGACCGAACATATTCCTACAGGCAATAAGCACATGTTGAACGTGAATTGTCTTCAGATTCATGGCACACAAGAATGTATTTCTGTTCGACAAAAAAGGCAAGATATTTGATGTTCTTCTTATATTCCTGGCATGCCTGGAGTATCCCATGCAATAGGATCACCGGTAATGGTGTACTTTCAAAATATCAAAATGTACACGTGGCTTGCATGGAGCTGGGAACTATTCACTATTCGAATAGATCCGAATAGACGTGAACATTTGGCGGCATTGTAACAGCTATGTCTCAATTTTGATTAGACCTTTCTAATTTTGACTGAGTCGAGCTTTAAATTTTTTTGGGCTAGGTTTTGTCCCCACTGGAATTGGAATAGTTTGCACCAAAATTTGAACCACGTCTCCCTTTGGCAACGGAACTATGGCCAGGGCAACCAGAAATTGCCAGCAGCGGCTTGTATGCAGCAATGATAAAAGTGATACTTGTGGCAGCTGCACAAACACCTGGATACTGAAGCAAATGCACTGCAGGCCGCTAAGCTTCATCAGAAGCCTCAGCACCCGCCGCTTGCCCTGATGCTGAAGAACAAGTACAGGGCAGCAAGCAAGGAAGAGGCGGACTCCAAAGATCTCGAACAGCGCATGGAGGGCGAGAGCTTTATTCCAAAGGTCTTCAGACCAATGTGATCCACCCAACATGAACATTAGACGCTGGTGTTTGTTAAGGGACAGAGCTCGAAACGGGAAAAAATTAGACCAGCGGCACCATTGCCCACAAGGGTGCCTCGGCTGTAAACCGCCAGGCAAGAAAGGAAATACACTGTGTCGAATGTCAAATGTCGGAGGTCGGAGTGCTGGGTGTGACCAAATCGAACCGTCCTTAACTGTGCCGTCTTGAGGTGCAGATATTGCCTACGACTGTAAAATGAGATAATTTATTGCGCACCTATCACTGCCAGAAGGCCAGCCAAAAGGCATCCAGTTGGATGCCTTATTGCAATAAGCCCATTCAACCTCTTGGCAAGCGGTGCCTCGCGCCCAGCCAAACCATCGTCTGATTGAGCTGAGGGTCTCATGCCCTAGATTTGGACTTCCTATGAATCCACAACTACACCTTTACATGTTTGTTCGGGTATGACTCACACATGAAACACCTGTTCGTCCGTTCCTTGGCACAGCTGCAATTGTATTCAAGTTTGCTGGCCCCAGGCCCCTCCCCCCCCCCACCCCCACCCTCCCTTCCAATCATGATTGTTGAATTGCAGCTCGCAGACACATATCCCGCACACTCCATCGGGTCGCACTCAAAGACGGGAATCCGAATGGGCGATCTGATGCGCATTCCATGACAACTTGTATGAAAATCCCAGATTGCAAAAGTTCGTCCCCAGAACCACTGGCATAACTGCGCGACTTCGCCCCTTTCAAATGCATAAGCTAAAACTGCCGCTGCACAGTATTGCGCTATTTAGCACAATGTGAACAGAACAAAACTGTGTAATTCGGGCAGCATTTCTGTCAGTTTTGGAGGCAAAAGAATACGCCTTACTTGGTGGACTCGTGCCCCTTGGAGGGAGATACAGCAGATGCGGGTTGGCAAAGGGCGCAAGTGGTTGCAACGAGTTCAAGCAAAACCATCCCTCGTTGGCTGCTTCGCGATTTCCACCAACCGTCGATGGCTTGAAAGTGTTTGGACGGCGATTTGATGAACGGGTGACAGGTGCCGTCAGAGCGATTATTGTCCAATCCACCAAGATGTGAGAAGGTGTACTTGTTGGTATTTCTTGCCGCTCGGTTAACCAAACCACCAGAGCTGTCGGTGGCGTGTAATTGGGATCTTGTCATATTTGCAGCCCATCAGTGTCAAGAATCCGGTGCTGCCCAAACAGGATGGACAGGACGTGCCCAACATACAGTGCAGCGATATCTGCGTTCCCAAGAGACAGTGCTGACACCACGCTTAGCACCAGCGGCATTCCATCAATCCAACGCCATCCTTCGCTGGTGGCGATGATGCGGTGCACATTGACCTCATGTGGCTGTGCGCCTGGCAAATTCGCAATTGTCCAGGGCAAAAGCAACACTGGCATGTGACTATCCCACAGTTACCGCCAATGGCTGTGCACCTGGCAAATTCGCTATTGTCCTGAGCAAAAGCAACACTGGCATGTGACTATCTCACAGTGACCGCCCGTGTATCCGCAAATCACAGAAAGACGTGCTCTTAATATGGACAATGGAAGCGCTGCCTTGTGTCCCCCAATCCAAGGATGTGGCGGCAAATTGACAAATGTGCTTGGCCTTAAATGTGCAAATGTGCTTGGCCTTAAACAGCATTACACAAACGGACCTGTGGATGGTAGGCGTCACAGAAACAACGAAAGGTTTCAGATCGCCCAGCCACAACCAGGAGCGCCAATATCCAAGGCATCAGTCAGCCTGGTGATCTTGCATTCTCCCATTTCTTATTCGTCAAATGCAATGCCCCATCCATCTCTGGGGTCGATGCATTCGAAAATCCAAAAAGAAGGAATCCACGGCGTGACCAGTGTGTTGGCGGCTGCTGCCACATCTCTCTTCACACTACCCAACTAAGATGGCCCAAAACTCAGCAAAACCCACCTAGCCCACCTGATGATGTCAGCCTGTGCCTACTGATATGATTGCAGGATTGGACAGCACACAAAGTGCCTGCCACAAAAATTCGCAGTCCAACTGCATCTCATGTATAACACCTGCTACACAGTTCACTCTCAACTTCAACAGGAAACACAGCCCTTGCCAGTCCCACAGTGGTACACATGCAGCCAGGCAGAGCCTCTCAACTCGGTGGTGCCTCCTGACATTGGACGTCTTGACTGACACCTCCATGTACACAAGGGCCAGCTCCTGCTTTCTTCCAATGCATTCGGCAACCTCTGTCCCATCTCTTGCAGTATGGCACAGAGTCTGTACACACATCCACTGAACAGGGTCGATTGCCAAGCACAGCCTGGACAGTTGTTCTCCATGCAAGAATCATAAAAGGGTCAATCCCAGCAGAACCTCCTGTCAGGCAGGACGCCAGAGGAGGCATCGAGCTTGTCCAGTCCGTTGTGCATTCATCAGTGTCCTGTCTCATGTAGTGTATCGCTGCCACATGTCTGCGGGGCGACATGCCACAGTTCACTGCACCTCACTCCTGGCCTGCATTTTCTCTTGAGGATGAGCCACCTTCCAACCGTCTCCTCTCCACATCATGGTTGTATATGCGAGCGATGCTGACCTGTGAGCACAACCAGCAAAGTCCAACTTGAGCACAATAAAGCAACGCCATGTTCGTAACATACTGGCGATGAAGTGTCAGAAAAGATAATGTAGTGCCCTTGCACTCATCAAGCGATGCTGGCACTGGTCACATCCACAAGCATGGATATACTCACATCCTTAAACTGTTTTCGTTCTTGTTTCACGTCAAAATGAATGCTATTTCCCATCTTTTCAGGGAATGGCAACGTGGCTGTGAGTCCAAACGTGTAGTGTAAGCCAGAAACAGGATATGCAATAGGAGCACCCTAAACTGATTGCGTAATTCCCTTTACTGCAGCAGGTTCAACACAGCCCTGGCACATTCAAGGCTATGATGGTGCCACCTGCAAATACAGGAAGTGGAACTTGTAGGCTCCAAGAGACATGGGACAGGCCAGAAACACAGGGCAATAGGAGTGTAATTCCTCTTCGACCACATCTATCAATATTTATGGAACATGCCCCTGCATCTTCCAGATCGATGTTAGTTTGACGTGCACCATGTGCTGTGGTGCACTTGTTTAGAGTCAGGGAAGAGGATGTATGTACCTTGTGGCTTGGAGGCACCACATTCATGCTCAGGTGTTTGCAGTGGCATTTTGCACCCCAGGACACTGCAAATGTCAGATAATCCATGACGTGGCCAACATGGCATGACGATCCATAAGCTGCACATCAACTGCAGTTCCATCCAATATAATACAAGTTGAAAGGACAACAGTCATATCAAGTCGGACACATCGTACAATCCACGCAGCCTGTCAGTGTGAATTGTTGGCACACCGCCAGATACAACTTGCATAACTGAACATGGGAATGCAACTGGCTATCCCAGGTGCACCAACAACTGCTCAACTTGGGCTGCAGACCTCTTATAAGGCCCAATCGAACTCCTTTTGCCCACGCCTCTGCAGCAGCTGCAAAATCTGAATGGCTCGCACAACATTCCAGCAAGACACAAACACAAATATGACAGCATTTGTGGCCCAGATGCAGCAGAGGCCATCCACCAAGAAAACTGGTAGTGTGAGCTGAAGCACCGCGGCCAAGTTGGCAGCGTCCAGTCAGAACGAAAAGTGAGCACAGCCCGCACAAAATTCAGGTCGCATTTGTTTGGCCCACACAATTCAACTGCCAGACTTGGAAGACAGACTTTGGATTTGAGCCCCAGATGTGGATTTGAAAAACACTAAACTAGCGTTGCATTTGTGCCCAATTACAGCGAATACTCTGCGGGAAAGACCAACTACTTGAGGAGGCAGACAGCACTTGCCATCGTCTCAAAGGTGGCAGGCCAGTGCTCAGCCGTGACCCGGTGACATAATCAAAATGGATTCCAACTAGTACCTAACATGGGCACGTGCCAGAAGTGTCCCAATGTGCATAGCAGGGTAATGCAGGATGTCACCTCTGTAATGGTTATGTAGTCCTTGATCTTCTCCAGGTCCTGCTTGATCGTCTCCAGGTTTGCTTTGCAGTTTGTGAGGCTGCCCTCCAGAACGCCCTTGGCCTCCAGAAGTGGGTACTCCACCATCACACCAGCACCCAACCACAGGTTCACCGTGTGGACATCCTGAAAGGTGGCCTTGGCGAAAACGTTGTCTGCGAGCTCGAAGTCCACAGTGACCTGTTGCAAGGACAAAGCACTTCTAAACTCTTGACATGCAAAGTCCAAATGGGTCGCGAGTAGCAAAGGGCGAGTGCAGGTGCCATCAAATCTAGGATCTACACGGAAGAGTTTTTTTGGTCTGGTTCTTCGATCGTGTGGCGAGTGAAGAGATGCCCAGCCAGGCTCCATTTCGCCCGCTCTCCTTTGCCTTCTCCTTCCATACCCAAACGCCAAGGCGTGAACAGCTTCGATCCAAAGACGATCTCCCAGGCAACGGGGGACGTAGAGGGGCTGGCCGCATGCTCACAAACGCCAGGAGCTCCCACACTTGGCAAACGAGATGCTAACCATGGGGATTGAAGTCCAATTCTCAATCCCCGGTGCCCGCTGACCGACAGTCCACCACACAATCACCACGCCGCTGCATCAAATTCAGGCCGCCGCATCACATCTACACGCCCCTCCCGCCCATAACAGCCCTCAGGACGCCCCCCCCCTCCCTCCACGGCGCCCACCTCGCTGTCGCCGCCCTCCTTCTGGATCAGCAGATTCACGATGTCCAGCGTCTTCTTCACCTCAGGCAGCTTGCTCAGATTGTACACCCGCCGCTGCAGCAGCCGCGACTCCTCCAGCTTGTACCGCCGGTAGTGCTCGTTGAGTCCCGCGATCGCATCGTCGGCGCTGCGGCCCTTTAAGTACTCCCCCACGTCCTCGATGAATTGGGCCTTGGGCAGGACGGGGTTGGGATCGGCCCCGCCCTCGGAGGACATCAGTGGGGTATGCTGCCGGCGGCGGCGGCGGCCCTGCGCGTGGAGGTGTCCGCGCCGGAGGCGAGAGGGCGCGGGCGCGGTGGATTGCAGTGCGGCGGAAGGCGCTGGCCCGTAAGCTTCATAATGGCGCCGCGAGAATGGATTGGGGACGGCTGGATGGGGGACAGCAAGGGGGAAAAAAAAGCGCACTGAAGATAAGCGATGCTCCAAAAGACAGCGCTCTGAAGACACAGGATGCTCTGGGGGCATAAAACAAAACAAGCGCTCTGAAGATAAAGGATGCTCTAAGATCATAATAAAAAGCGCTCTAAATATCAAGGTGCTCTGTTAGAGCTTTTCCTTCTGTGTGCTCTTCAAAAGCGTGTTAAGATGCTCTTGGTCGCTGAGTGGTATAGCATTGGGGATGTTGTCCAGTGGAGGCAGCCTGGGAACGAGCTGAAAGCTATGGAGTTACGGACAGATCCCAAGCAGCGATGTCCCTTTGCAGCCGAGCCATCCATGCAGCTCGAGTGTCATGATAATGGCAACATAGCACGAGCATTCATCCGAGAATATGGTTAGTGTGCGGTGGTGGTGGTTGGCTAGCGGCAGTGCTTTAGTAGAAGAAAACACAGAGGTGGGATGATTGCGTCGACCACGGGGTTCCGATTCGAAGACAAATATGTGCGCATGGCAGAAAACTTCGATCGGCGTTCAAAGCATGTTGAATAAAGCAGTCTTCAACATTGAATGTTCTAGCGATGCAATATGCATTGAAACAGGTTGAAGTCATGTGCACGGGATCTATCTTCTGAGGACGTTTTTCGCCAGCCGCTGGGAGGACGACGGGTCGGGCGTTGGCCGGGTGTGGCAGGCGGCCTTCATTCAAAATGTGTATTGGCACACTTGAAGCTACACGAAGGAGCAGAGAAAAACTGCACTGGATCTGCTTCCATACTGCGACAATGCACTAATGCAAGAGCGACTCGATGGCAGGCCACTATTGGATAGTCCAAATACCGACCTTGTACAGTTCTGTACACTGGCGTAATGAAGAGGTGAGCGGTGTGGGCGAGCGTACATCTAATCAAAGTTGATTCGGAGCACTGTGCAGGGTGACAGCAGTCACCGTTTGTTGTGACTTGCTTCGGTGCGTCCGTTGCCGATCTGTGCTGTGCTTTTGTGTGTGATTGCGCTCAGGAGGTCAAATTGTGTGTGGCGATTATCGTAAATCCAAGCTTTCATTTTAGAATTCCATGTACAACCATCAATTTGCATGGTGCTCGACAGACCGCCATTTGATTTCAGCTATGGTGGTCGAAACAATTTCAGATTCCCTGTAGCTCATTCATCCAGTTCGATGGCCAGAGCAATTTGCGAATTGGGCCCTTATGCTTCTTTTGGGATGTGGCAAGGCGGTTCTGACGTCATGTCACACCACCTGGAGTGCGCAGAGGAAGAAAGTCGTCGAGTTCGCCCTCCACACGCTTGTCTCAATCAGTAGAGAGCCGCAGAGTATTTCCGCAATCGGTGCTCATGATTTTGAATCTATAGGCTGGTCACGAAGACGTTCTGGAGCACGAACCACATATAGAATGCAGCGATTTGGGCAGCCAATCCGATGATGAGCACCACAACGAAGATCGTCGCTTCATCCACGATCAAAAACCGGCAGGAAGACTCGCTGGGAGGCTGGGCATGCAAAACGCAAGCAAAAGTCTAATTGCCATCAGTTGCTATGTATGATGACTCGCTGCACAATCATAGCCAGGCCAAAAGACTGGCCTCGACCTTTTGGGAGGATCCCATGGGTCTTTTGCTCACTGAAACTCGCAACCAAAGAGTCGTTGTAGCTGTTCAGCACCACTTCTTGGTTCACACACCAGCACCCATGCATTTCCGCCAACCTCGATTGAGGCGGCTCCCAAACAACTACCATGCTTCAAATAACAAATGTGTCCTGGCTTCGTTGAAACATCCATCAAATCATTCCATTTCACTTCAAATCTTCCAAACATATACCATACATATTTCCAGGCTATCGCCAATGCATTCTTGTAATGCATCGCCCGCAAATCGACCTAAAATCATGCCAGGGCCGGCTGACCTCCAATAGCCAAGCTGCAGGGCAGGGCGACGCCAACCCCTCCAGAAACTAGCGGCTGCTGACGGGGTCATATTATTTGTTATTAACAAATTGGTCTCAGAGCGCGAAGCCCAGAGCCGGGAGCCGAGTGAGAGGCACAACATTCCATAGTGACCATGCGGCTTGAAGGGGCTACAGATTTCCAAAAGCCTCCATTATACCGGGTAGCGGTCAGCACCTCCATGGGGATCGGCGGTGCTGGGCGATTGCCAGATCCACAATTTCGATAGCGGATTCAGCGGTGGATTCAGTGTATGCGCCAGTCGCCTGTCATATAGCCAAACACGCGAAGACCAGCGACCCCATTCGCAACCCATTAGGGTGCCAGAGCACCAGGGTTGAAGCCCACTTGGTGTGTTGCAAATGCCGCTTTCTGTTGCAGGTACCACATGCGGGTCACAACCAGGCCGCCCTGCACCAAGATTAGGGAACTGGCTAGGCAAAGGGAGAGTAGATCGAGCACAGCAATAGGCAGGGCCTGAAAAGGCTCTAGAGCTGCTACTGCCATGAGGCAAGATCTCCCCTGGACCCGGTCAGAAGGTGAGGCCGTTGCCCACCTTAGGATAGTGCAGTAAGGTAGACAGACTATACCCCTCACTGATCCTTGGGGATGGTCTTGAAATAAACGAGGTTGGGGTTGCCATAGGCCAGCCCCAAAAGGCTCATAGCTGAGCCGCCTCTCGGTATCACCCTTGTCCCAAGCAAGGGACACCGGGTGATCTCTTTCTATGGTTACTGGGACTAGACTTATATAAGTACTTGTTGGAAATCCCCGAAAAGTTATCAGAGGGACGGAAAGGAACCTCTACAGAGTATTGGGAGGAACAATGAGGAAATTGTTTGTTGAATATCAGTAGGATCAGTTAGAGGTAGCCTGAGAGTCAAGGGTGAGATTGTGACTACATTTGCTTAGGATTCAGTGGCTTCTTAGTATTCCAAGATTAGGTCTACACCAACTGACGATGCCTTAGGATAGTTTCTCAATAGATCAATTTTGTGAGTGGGATTATGGCAGAGCATGAGCTAATGGATTTGAACGGTCACGATGGTGTGGAGCACATTGGCAGGACAGTGGAGACAACCACAGGAGCTGGATATATGGGAGTTATTGCCATGTCATACGGGGCGCAGTGGTAGAGGGTTCTGATTACTGGACAGAGCCAGGGGCAGTGGTTTTGGGAAACCCAGAGATTGCCCTTAGGGCAATCTAGACTAGGCTAGTCTCTAGGACCGAAGCTACACAAGGGATGCAAAACCTTGAGCAGCATGCTGCACAGGCAATAGCAGACACTGCCGCACAGACAATATATGCCATGAATGTACTGGCCGATCAGATGATATTGGCGATGTAGCAGACTACTCAGACATCTCAAAGGGCAATTTGCCATTTGGAGGGTCAGACCAGGGAGGCTTTTGGGCGCACAAAGACTACTATGTCGTCAATGCATAGAAACGTCTTTAGCAATGCTAAGAGAATTACGGATCTAGAGAATGCATTGGTGCATGAGAGGCAGAGGAATGCAGATGGTAAAACAAGGCTGAGGAGGGAAGGAAGACGGTTGTCAAGTAGCTTACTCGGTAGCTTGATGACGCTCTATCCAGAATTGATAAATTGTTTGCGGACCTGGCCATAGAGCGGTCACAGAGAGATTCTCAGTCCCATCAACATACACAGACTTTGCCCATACCCTTCTAAGGGTATGGGCAAAGTCTGTGTATGTTGGTGGAACTAATAGTTCCACCAGCGATGGTTTTGTACAACCAACCTCTATATTTGGAGCAAGATCTACAGATTGTTGGACGAAGCCCCTTGAACAGTCTAGCTATGCTGCCTGTCTAGGACGACGGAGGTCCAAACCACACACACATCACATAGGTCGAGGCATTCATGGTGATGCGGCCCTGAGAGGCGCCACTGGTTTTCGAAGCTCGTGGGGTTGCCACGCCCTGCGGCTCGGCTGTTGGAGGTCAGCCGGCCCTCTCCACCGAATTTGGTGGGCGGTAGCGGGGCGCTCTTTCTCTCGGATGCGTGGTGGGCCCAGAGCGATGGGGATCGTCCCCCGGGGCCTGCTGTATGCGGCGGGTGGTGGCGCATCCAGACGGTGGCTCGCTGGTCGCGGAGAGACCAAGCAGTGGGCCAGAACAGTTATATGGATTCACAGCATGCGCGCGCATATATCGCATGCACGATGCCCGATCGCGGGTCCATCGCTGTCACATCAAGACAAGACAAGACAAGTGCGCATTCAGGCACATCGTCACCGTCCACCGTTCACCTAAATCAGCTCCGCATAATCCCCGATGCTTCTATCTACCGGTCCGAATCCCATGCTAAAGTACTGCAACTTCAACTGGCCATAACTTTGCCGTTTCTACACGGAATTGGACGTTTCAAGGTGCTATCGGTATCAAGAGCTCTTGAATAAGCTGATTTTAATGTATTTACACTTTTTCTACTAACCATCGCTTCAGAAATGCTAATTTTAGTATAACCCCAAGTAACCACGTCACATTACTCTCCCTTGGGGTAGCTTTCGCCCCCGAAAGCACACTATCCCATACTAGTGTCTTCCTTGGGCTTGTCCCTCTTGATCATTTTCTGAAGTTCACATGCATAGGTGAAATTTCCAGCCGGTATTCAGGAGGCATCGTCGATACTCCACCCTGTCCATAACACCAAAAATTCCTTGTGCCTCCTGCCACTGGGTCCTGCCCATCTCCATCGCAGCAACTTCTCAACTTTATACGGTTCATCGGCTTCTGGCTCGATCTCGGCATCATCTGTCTCCTCTGGGGTAGACCATCTGGACGATCTGAATGGTCGTAGCAAACTGGTGTGAAAGACATTATGTATCCTCCACCCTTCTAGTAGCTT